GGGGGGCTGGGAATCGAACCCGGGTCGCAGCGGTGAGAGTCCTGCACCCTAACCACTAGACCACTAGACCACCAGGGGCCCCCAATGACAGGTGATAGGGAGCTGCCAAAGGCATCACACCCAGAAGATACACCCACACCTCCCCCATACTGGGGAATTCAACCCATTCACCTGGGTGACCTGAGGCCTGTCAAGGGTGATGTGACCCCACGGCCAAAACAGCTGTGGGTTAATATTCCAGCAGTGATCTCACACAGGGCTGTTTGGCTGCTTCCTCCCGCAGCACTGGCCACAGCATTCGTGTACCGTGGCAATCCCTTCTCCCATCCCTAGACCCTTTCCCCAGTCTTTGTACTTCCTTTGTCCATCCCTCCCAAAAGAACAACAGACTTAGAACTACTTTTTTCCTATTGCTTTGTGCTTGGTGTTTTTCTCAGTCTGTGTCCAGTTCGGTGTTTCTGACACTTTTACATTGGTATTATCTGGGCATTATATGCTACAGACAAGAGGAACTCCTGGCCTTGCCCCAGGAGGTCCCACTGCTTCTCTCCAGCTACCCATGGAGTTTGGCCTCTCTTCACACCACTGTTCCATAACCACTTGGCAGATCCAGGTGTCCCTTTAGACAACCTCTGCACTTTTTGTCAGCTTTTCATGCTGTTACCTGCCACACACAGGTGTTTCCCACACAATGTTGTGCCAAGTTCTGCTGAGACACCTCGAGGAAGTGCCTGGCCAGTGGCTCATGATCTGCCTGTAGCTCCAAGGAATGGAAAGTAAAATGCTCCTGTAATTATAGCACTGAATGGAACTAAAGACCTGCTATGAACTGTCCAAGCTTTGCACTTTGGAGGTTTGAGGGAATTCTGGAAAACTGACACAAACATTCCAAGGACAGCTCAGGACATTGTCAAAACCCCAAGTCAAAGCCTTCTGTCCCTCCACAATCACTCCACACCTGAAGTCCCCACCTCTCCAATAGTAACATCTCCCATGGGAAATGTCTCTCATCCCCTCATCTCAAACAGGGACAAGGACAACGGGCTGGCTCCAATTGTTGTGGCAACAACTTCCCAGTCTGTGTCCCGGCAGAGCCCTCACCTGTGCTGCTCCCCAACCTGTTGTCTCCCCCCTGCTCCAGTGTCTTCTCAACATTTGGTTGTGTTTGGCTCAGCTTTGCTGGACATGCCCACGTTCCTTCATCTCCCCCCCGAGCAGTGCCTGAGGAAACAGCCTTGCTGCTGCTTCTGCAGGACTGGGAGGACCAGCGGTCATGGGATGTAGGAAGGAACTCCTTGTTTCTCTGCCAAGATGGAATCAGGACCTGCCAATCTGTTCCTGCCAGCCAAGGCCGGAGAGAGCCGCTCTGCAGAATGAAACCTCGAGTGACTAATGAGGTTTCCTGGACCTGGCAGAGGCAGGAGTTTATGTCAGCAGGGGATTTGGGCAGCTGTGCTTGTTTTCCCCTGGGACTCGCTGGAAAGCTCTCAGGAGGGCAGCCCCACACCTTCTGAGAGCAGGACAGGCTCCCTTTGTTTGCAGCAGGGACAGGGATTGAACATTCTGTGACTCTGCCGGGTGTGGGAGGTTTGGGAACTCTTCTCCTTGGCCACCCGGCTCCAAGTCAGGGAGGGCCCCGAGCCAGGAGCGCTCAATTAGCCCTGTAATCACGAACACAATGAGAGCAGCTGCTCTGTAATTGCCTCTGCCTCAGGCCATGGGCAGCTTAGCTGGGAGAAATTCCTTTTTTTTTATTATCTGGGAGGGCTCTGAAGCCCAGGCGTGTTGTGGGGTGGTGGTGGGAGTTACGAGGCTCTGTCTGCTCCTCTGCCCCTCTCCAGGCACCTCGGGCAGCACTCCTGGTGCTCTGAGCACTGCAAGATGTGGAGTGTGTAAAAATTTGCTTAAGAAAGGATGGTTTTTAACGTTTGATCTTTGTAAATTTCATGCCTCCAGAAAGGACATTTAATCTATGGATCAGAGAGCAGCCAACGAGCTCTGAGTGATGCCAAGGTGATGGAAACACAAATTCCTGGTCGGTGGAATTGCCTTGTTAAGGGTTCAGGGCTGGACACATCTCAATGATCTCAGCTCTGTGGGAGGGTATCACAGCTTGGGAGGAAGGATTTCCACTGGCAGTGGGCACAGGGAACACAGAGTTTATGGGCCACACGGACATCTGGCAGAACCCCAAAGATGAGGAGGAAACTAATAATGACAACTCAGCAACTGGGCTGAATCAGCTCCCACTGGGTACAAGGAGACTCCAGCAGGGGCAGATCGTGACCCACAACATCAACACCCCCCCCCCGACCCAAAAAGAGGAGGACTGAGCACAGAACACACTGAGCACCCAGGGCTTGCTCAGTGCTAAAATAAACACCCAGTATCTCTCGAATGTGTAATTGTTGGCTTGTTGCATAGCAGGTTCTGAACCCTGTTTTTGTGGACAGCAGGGGGGCTGGTGTGTGCAGTTCCCTGGGGAGCTGCTGGCCTGGACCAGCTCCAACTCCCAAAAAAGGGCACAATTAACGTCAGCATTTGCCCATCTGATGATGAGGAGCATCTCCCCGGTGAGCAAAGACGGTGGGAGCTGGGCCTGCTTAGTCTGGAGAGGAGAAGGCTGAGAGGGGATCCCCCCAGTCCACACCAATATCTCCAGGGGCTGTCAGAGGATGGTCCCACACTCCTTTTGGTGGTGCCCACTGACAGGACGAGGAGCAATGGCCATAAACTCAAACACAACAAGTCCCCTCACCACGAGGGGACAGGACTTCTTTCCATGGAGGTGGCAGAGCCCGGAACAGCTGCTCAGGGAGGCTGTGGAGTCTCCTGTCTCGAGACACTCCAGACCCACCTGGACACGTTCCTATGTCACCTGCTCCAGCCTTTCCCCAGGCTTGAAGGTTACAAAGATCAACCACCGAAGCAGCTCCTTTCCTAAGGAGACGTTTCCGTAGTCCAGGTTTCCCAGCCCCGGGCACTCCGGGATCCCAGGGGTCCGGATTCCCCCCGCCCGGCTCCACGTGGTGCGGGCCGGGCGGAAGCGGCGTCACCGCTCTCCGTGCGCACGCGCGGCCGCCCCGGTCACGTGTTGCCGCGGCGCGTGGCCGTGCCGGGATTTGGGATCGGGATGTTCCGCATCGAGGGGCTCGGGCCCAAGATGGACCCGGAGGAGCTGCGGCGGAAGATGCGCCGGGACGTGCTCTCCTCCGTCCGCAACTTCCTCATCTACGTCGCGCTGCTGCGGATCAGTGAGTGACCGGGATGGGACCGGGATGTCCCCGCGCCCCCGGGGTGTCCCGGCTCCGGGATGTCCCTGCGCCCCCTCCTGATCCGGGCTGTGTCCCGTCTGTTTCCCTCCCCAGCGCCGTTCATCCTGAAGAAGCTGGACAGTATCTGATCCCGCGGACCCGGCCCCGCAGCTGCTCCCCCCGGGCCAGAGGCGGTGCCAGAGGGACACGGACAGCCCGGAATTCCCAGGATGTCCCGTCCAGCACGCGCGGCCGCGCAGTCCGAGGAGGGGAAGGTGCCTGTTGTCCCTGCGGGTGAATCCCGGGCGCAGAGGGGGCCCTGCTGTGATCCAGCAGCGCTTCGTGCCGAACGTTCCCCGTGCAGTGCGAGCAAAGCCCGTCCCCATCCCGCGGGACGTGTCCCGTGCTGGCAGGGACACAGCTCCGGGACCGGCTGTGCTGTGCCTGCCCCCCGCACCCCGTCCTGTGTCACACCCAGTTCCCGCCGAGTCCAGCCCAGAGCACTTTGTTTCAAATAAACGGGAGAGCAGTTGTGTCACGGGCCCTGGTCACGCTGGGTTTACAATAACCATCAGGCACTGAAATACCGCGGGGGGTGGTGTGGGATTATATCCCTGGCTGCGCCTGGAGTTCACCCACTCCTCCTTTGATCCACCCTGTGCGGAGGGAGGGCAGAGGAGGCGCAAGGGTGTTCAGGTGGGGCAGAGCAATCCAAGGGGGAAGGGCAGCCTGGCCTCTGGCAGCTCCCCCTGGCACCAGAACCTCGGGGGTCTGTCCCTCGGGTCACAGTCCTGAGTGCCTGTCCCCAGTGGGTGTTGGAAGGGCAGTTCAGGCTTGGAAACAGGGTGTCCATTTGGGAGTGTAACCAAGTCACTTGGTCACTTCCCACCTGGAGCCTTGAGTGCCCACTGCACCCAGGGGAGTAGCCACCCGTGAGTGGCTCTGGATTCCAGTGGGAATGAAATCAGGGGTGTTCTTGAGCTCAGGTTGTGCTGTAGGTGCCTATTCTGGGGTGACGTGATGGCTGCTGAACCCAGGAGGAAGAGGCTTTTCCCTCTCTTGGCTCTTAGTAGTGGAATTTTCTGTCTGCTCTGGCCCAGGGACCTCTATCCCATGGTCCAGGTCCTGGTGCTGGGGACAGTCCTGACTCTATCAGACTCTGCTGGACTTGGTGTGAGCCTATTCCAGGCTGGCTCCAGGGAGAAGATGGAGAACAAAGGTGTTCCCACATCCAGCATGTGACCCTGTCCACATGGGATCTCCAGGCACTCTCAGAGCAGCTGCTGCCCTGCCTTGGCATTTTCTGAAATTATGTTGCCATCACAATTCCTGTGCTCCCAGCAGTAGCCAGGCATCTCTTCACTAATTCTTCCCACTTTCACTTCAAGTTTGGGTGTTCTGCTCCTACAGGGCATTGGGTTTGCTGATGGGGGGCTCTTTCCATGGTGGGCTCTGTCATTCCCAGGGGCTGTCATGTTGTCCCCCAGAGCAGCTCTGTGATTCCTTCACTCCTATGCTCAACACAAGGAGCTCCAAAGGGAGGGGTGTGGACCTTCCCAAAACTTAAGGGAACAGGGAATGTACAGGGGGAAGGAGCCCCTTGTCCTGCCATTACTGTGTGGTGTCCTGAGTGAGATGTGGCTGGGCCGGGCAGCCTCTTCACCTGGGAAGACACAGAAAGCTCCAAGAGAGACCAGAACAGTGGCTGGACATGAGCCCAGGTGTGCAAGAGGCCAGTGGCCCCTGGACTGTCCCAGCCATGGGGTGTCACAGCCCCAGGACAGTGCCTGTCCCTGTGCTGGCACTGCTGAGGCCCCTCGTGTCCCACGTCCAGGTCTGGGCTCCTCAGACAGGAAGGACATGGAGGGGCTGGAGCGTGTCCAGGGAAGGGAACGGAGGTGGGGAAGGGTCTGGAGCAGCAGGAGGGACTGAGGGAGCTGGGGGGGCTCAGCCTGGAGA